CTGCAAACAGAACAGGTCTTAGAGCACAGAACCAGAGAATTATTCTCCAAGTCTAGAATCCACTTGCCTCAACTAAAGATTCCACATGCCACAACTAAGACCTGGCTCAGTCAAATAAATGAATAAATATTTAAAAAAATCTAATGAACAGCTTGATGTGAAGAACTGACTCAATGGTTAGTACTTGGATACACACTATCTCAGTGATACTGAAGACTACCCTTTCAGTAAATTCTATAGTATGATAATTGTGGACCAATAAAAACAAATACACAAAAACTCAAGAAAAAACAACATTTTGAAGTTAATGCTATCATTATTCCAATTTGAGAACTGAATTCAAGACAAACAACTAGTAAATGGGCAGGGGCAGAAAGTGAAGCCAGATGTCTGAGTACAGACTTGTGCTCCCAACCACTTCACCCAAGTGCCCTCCCATCATCCACCTTTCTTATTTTTCCTCCAATGTGACAGGTGTATGAGAAATTACAATAAGCAGAGATAAAGACTTGACAGTATGACAGTTCATCTTGCTATTCCCAACTATGTGTTACTGGCAGCCCCAATAATACACTAGAATCCATAAAACCCACAAAATGAGATAACTCTTAGTAATAAGAGTTAAAACTTTTAAACACATAATTCTTAAAAAGCAGGTACTATATGCATTGCAAACTGTTTTCATAGTCTGAATCCATGGGTCTTTTAAAATGCTTGTCAAACCAATTCTGAAATAAACATAGAAAGACAAAGGAACTAGAAGAGCAAAATAATTTTGAAAAAGAACAGAGTTAACCAACTTGAAGTACCTAATTTCATGACTTACACAGTTACCAAGTGTGGTACTGGTGAAAGGACACATAAATCAATGCAACAGAAAGTCCAGAAATGGATCAACATGTATATGGACAATTGTGCTGTGCTGTGCTGAGTCGCTCAGTCATGTCTGACTCTTTGTAACCCATGAACTGCAGCCCGCCAGGCTCCTCTGTTCATGGGCATTCTCCAGGCAAGAATACTAGAGTGGGTTGCCATGCCCTTCTCCAGGGGACCTTCCCAACCCAGGAATCAAACTGGGGTCTCCTGCACTGCAGGCGGATTCTTTATCAGCTGAACTACAGGGCGGCCCTCATATGGACAATTACTTTTTGCCAGTTTGAATGAGCAATTCCGTGAATAAAGGATAGTATTTTCAAGAAATGGTACCCTATCAACAGAAGCTCAATATGCAAAAGGTATATACCCCTATAGTAGTAGTAATGTTAGTCACTCAGCTGTGTCCTACTCTTTACCATCCCATAGACTGTAGCCCACCAGGCTCCTCTGTCCCTGGAATTCTCCAGGCAAGAATACTAGAGTGGGTAGCCACTCCCTTCTCCACGTGATCTTCCTGACCCAGGGATAGGACCCAACTCTGTCAAATTGCAGGCAGATTCTTTACTGTCTGACTCACCAGGGAAGCCCATATACCTCACACTTATTTGAAAATTAACTCAATATGGACCAGAGTCTAAGAGTAAAAACTTAAGTTGTAAAATTTCTGGAAGAACAAAAAAAAAACCTTCTGGAAGAAAACATAAGACAAAATCTTTACGGCCTTGAATTTGGCAAAGATTTCTTAAATATGACACCAAAAACATAATCTATTAAGAAAAGATTAATCAAATTTTAAATATCTGCTTTTGGAAGATACTATTACAAAAATGAAAGACAAGTCACAGACCAAAGAGCATATTTAAAAAACACATATCTCACATAAGACTTGTACCCAGAATATATAAAAAAACATTAGAAAATTAGTAAGAGAACAAAAAATTCAATTTAGAAAATGAGCAAAAGATCTAAACAGACATTTTATCAAAGAAGATATATGACTGACATGTAAGCACAATAGAAGATGATATCATTAATCATTGTGGACTCACATACAGCTCTTAGATTAGGGGACAAAACTCAACAATATGAAATGCCGGTGAGGATGTGGAGCAACTGCAACTCTCACATATTGCCAGTGTAAAAGCAAAATAGTACAGCCACTGTGGGAAACACTGTGGAAGCTTCCTATAAAATTAAACCTACATTTACCATATGACCCAGCAATTCCACTTCTAGGTATTTACCCAAGAGAAATAAAAACCTTTGTTCACACAGAAATCTGTTCATGAATGTTCACAGCAGCATTATTCATAATCACAAAGAACTGGAAATAACTCAAATGGGATACTAGTCAGTAAATAAAAAGGAACAGACTACTAATATACGTTGCCACCAATGAATCTCCAATTCATTATGCTGAGAGAAAAAGGCCAGATTCAAAAGGCTACACGCTTATTCCATGTATATGACATTCTGAGGACTACTGAGACAGATCACAGACCAGTGGTTGCCAGGGTTGACAGTAAGGGAAAGAACGTGAGGGTATTTGAAGAAGATGAGGTCACTGTTCTACAATTCCATTAATGTAGTGTTTACATGACTCTATGTGTTTGTCAAAGCACCCTAAAAAGGGCAAAATTTGTTGTACATGAACTGTACCTCAATACAGGCTTTAAAAAAAAAAAAAAGAGTAGCCTTGAGACGGTGGGACCTGGGACCCTTTGCTGCAGTGCTTGTATCTGGACAAACCTCTCCTCCAACAACAAAATAGGAATTAACATGAGACGAAAAATAACAGCATGCACAGCCTCTCTGGGCAATTTATGAACAAGATACAAAAAGACCAAAAACCCAACTTCCAGGATGCAACTTGAGGAGCCGGGAGCAAAAGCAGGGTATCAGACGCAAAAGCAGGGTATTGCACATGCCTCCCGCACACAGTACCACCAAGGGCGTGGGCAGACCACCTAAGCCACCCCTCTGGCCTGAACCCATCCCTACCCCTACCTTACCCCATATAAGAAACCTGCTGCCCAGTGCCAGCCCACCTTTCCTCACGGCGAGTAAACAAGGAGGCTACTTGTTTTAGCTCCCTTCTGCTGGCAGCCAGTCCCAAAAAAGACTTGCTTGAATTTATCATCTAGTCTCATCAATTTCCATTTATTAAAGAGTCCAAGAACCCTGGTTGGTAAAGCCTAGCTTAACACTAAGTTTAAAGATTTTGTAAGATGGGAACATAAAAATCCTAAAAGATGGGTACATCCTGGTTGTTTTACATAATTCAGGTCAGTTAGATTGAGTCAAGCCTGGGTTTATTTTGTCTTCTTAACGTGTGTCACAGCTTCTATATTACAGGAGTTTGAAGGCCTTGCTTCTGCCCCTGATTCTGCCAATCAGGTGATACATATTGTAAAAGAGCACTGCACTTCCTTTTTCCTCACCTAAGTTTCTTATTTCTTAAAATGAGAAAACACATTCTTAACCTCACCGTTCCTGTACCTATCAAAAGATGGTATATGGAACATGCCAGTGATGTATTAAATATGTATAGCATCAGCCAACTAAATATAGATACATTATTACACCAAATTGAGAGTTAGGATTGAAATTTCAACCTTAACCAAAAAAATCTCATCATTATGAATGGTAACAGGGAAGCAGAAAGTAAATTATCTAAAACATAATTAAGAAAGTAAAATAAATAATAGAAATTACAAGTACAAAAAAATTTAAGGTATTTTCTACTGGGGATAATTGAACCTTTTGTAAAGTTTCTTTGGGGAAGGGCACAAAGATGTCCTTTTCTAAGAGTATATTATTGCAAGTTATCTTTGAGTAATAAATGCAATTTAACTATTTTGTAAACAAAATACCAAGTTCTTGCTAAGTGTCAGCACTAAATGCTTTGCATATTATTAACTAATATTTACAAGACCCCAAAAGACGCACCAAATGTACTTGGGCATTTAATTTCCTTACATTCATGTGTTTCATGTAAATACTCCGGCAAGGCCTAATATAATGGGGAAAAAAGCATTTGTATAAGTAATGCTTAATTTAAAAACATTCCTGAATAAGTCCTGTAAGGATCGTTTGGCTTCCATACCTAAAATAATGTGCTCTTATCCTTATTCAAGAAGCTCTCATTTTGATTTAATAAATAGGAAACTGTCTACTCATTTGACTGTAAGAAAACATGAGATTAATATTCGATAGCTTTTTTTTTTTTTATCGTTCTCATATACAAATCACCAGTCAGACCCTCGGAGCAGATGCTGAACCATGTCTTGGGGACAATGCCTGTGTGTACGTGTGTGACTGCACATCCCCAGCAAATGGCACTGTTAAACATGCGCCTCATCCCCGATAAGGCAGGGGGCCCCTTACCCTGGGCCTCCAGCATTAGAAGGCTTTGCTTTCTCTGGCCCTCCTCCAGCTTTATTCCTCCCCACAGGACAAGGCTTCTGAGGAGCCTTCTGGAACAATCCAGGANAAATGGCACTGTTAAACATGCGCCTCATCCCCGATAAGGCAGGGGGCCCCTTACCCTGGGCCTCCAGCATTAGAAGGCTTTGCTTTCTCTGGCCCTCCTCCAGCTTTATTCCTCCCCACAGGACAAGGCTTCTGAGGAGCCTTCTGGAACAATCCAGGATGCCCAGGGTTTCAGACATTTCCTGGTCAAATGGCTCCAAAACTGCTTATAGCGTCTGCCTAACTGAAAGAAGATTGTACTACCGGTATATACGCCAGGAGGCTGAGAGAGGGGCAAGTGGGGCTCCTGAGAGTGGGACGAGGGGAAAAAGGACTCAAAACTGCAATTTCCCCGCAGGTCCCTAAGGGGGTGGAATGGAGACAGATCCCCCAGGCCTCTTCTACTCTCTGGCAGGGACCTCAGTGAAATCTGAGGTGATCAAAGCCGAGTCCCCAAGAGTAAGCCCGAGATGCCAACGCCAGCTACAGAGATGGAGACAAACGCCAAGACAGATGTACTGGCAGATGTATATAAGCACCTGTGTGAGCTAGAGGAGCCAAGTGGCAAAGGCTAAGCCCGTCCACACAGTTCGTGAAAAATTGCCGCGGACACCTGCCGCCACCCCCAGGTCCCCTCTACTGGGGGAGGGATTTGCGCGGGCAGATGTGGGGGGAGGCAGGGTAGCTAGGAAACGGTCCTGACGTTGCCCGCAGTGCGGGGGAGAGCAGGGTAGCAACAGGAGGCTGCTGGTGCGGTTCGAGGGCCCCACCATCAGCTGATTATGGGGAGCCAGTCAGGGGCCCGCGGGGGGGAGCGGGCGGGGCCGCAGACGTCACCGCCGCGGCCGACGTCAGCGCCGCTTGCCGCTTGCCGCAGCCGCAGGATCGCGCTGGTGCAGCTCGGGTGCCGGTCTCTGTGGGAGCCACCCAGACCTCTGCGCTGCTCCTCGAACATGGCCGACTCGCAGAACCAGGGCTCTACGGAGCCGGGCCAGGCAGCGGACGCGGGCGCGGCACCGGAGGAGGTAATGGCGGAAGGCGGTGCGCAGGGGGTAGATTCTGACAGCGCGTCCGGCGACTCCGACGGTGCGGCCGGTCAGACGGCTGAGGAGCCCCAGACCCCTGCAGAGAATGCACCAAAGCCTAGAAATGACTTTATCGAGAGCCTGCCTAACTCGGTGAAATGCCGAGTCCTGGCCCTCAAAAAGCTGCAGAAGCGATGCGATAAGATAGAAGCCAAATTTGACAAGGAATTCCAGGCTCTGGAGAAAAAGTATAACGACATCTATAAGCCCTTACTTGCTAAAATCCAAGAGCTCACCGGTGAGATGGAGGGGTGTGCGTGGACCTTAGAGGGTGATGAGGAGGAGGAGGACGATGAAGAGTACGAGGATGAGGAGGAGGGAGAGGAGGAGGACGAGGAGGAAGAAGAGCCTGCAGCAGAGGCTGCGGCGACCGCTGCCGCCGAAGATGAGGGTCCCCACTCTGCAGCGCCTGATGACGCCAAGAAATAAGCGGGCGCAGAGGTGCAGAGGAGAATGACGGCGCAGATTTAAAACCCCGATTACTATTACTTTGTACACACTGGTGGACTTGAACGGCTCAGGTTTTGGACCAAAGTACAGTAGGAATCAATTCTGAAATTCCTAAAATACTACGAAATTGACGCAATCAGATTATGCCCAGCGCGTCTCAAATTTGATTTCCAATTTGAACACAAATATACCAACAGGTGTTGAAAATGAGTTGAAATGATTTTTCATGATCTCTTCTGTGAGGACTGGAGTTGAGACTTACTAAGGGTGTCAAGTAGATGTGAATTAAAGAACGTCACTTTGAAAATCCTTTCATCACAGTATCATCGCACTAGGCACGGAACACCCGAGATCGAACGTGTTCTCAATGCCGAATTCTTCAATTTCTTTAGTTTTGCATTTTTTCAGAGCAGCAGCAGCAGAACTCAAGACAGATCTCATCTTTAAGACTTTGTTTTTGTAACGCGGACATCAGTTTTACACTTCAGAGAAGAGAGATGGGACGGAGGAAGCCAGTGCCGGAGATCATGACAATACTGTTAATGAGGCTCAGAAAACTGCCACTTCAGATTCTAAAGACTGTTCTGAATATTTGGTTCCGAGAAGAAGGGTGTATGACCTGTACAATATTGTCAACGTATGTGTTCATTATTTACGGTCTCGTGTTTATGTGTTTTCTTGGTAATGTCTATTTACAAAGGTGTAAAACAAATCGCAATTGTTTAAGTATTAAATCCCTTTATCTAGTATTTTAGAAGTATTAATTTACTTGAAAAAATGTAGAATCCTAGTAAATTCTGTAAAGCATGTGTATCCAATGTTATGTACTTTGAATTGTGTGATGTCTTTTTGTCTTGTAGCTTTTAGAATGTAGCTGTGAAAATTATCAGAACTCTTCACTGAAGCTAATTTTTGGGAAAAAATATATACTTGAAGAACCAATCCAACTGTGTGTCCCCATCTGCAGCTCAGAAGTAGAGGGGGTTTAAGTTTGCTTGTGTTAGCTGTGCCTTCATTATTTTGCTATGTAAATGTGACATATTAATATAAAATGGTGCATAATCAAATTTTACCACTTGGGAACAGATTGGCATACAGCAAAGGATTTTTAGGAAGACACATTTAATGTCAAGACTCTTAGCTTCTTTGTGGGTTTTGAACTGTGTGATCTATAAAGAAATTTAAGCATAAAGTTGTTTACCACTGTGGTGTTAATAAAACAGTATTTTCAAAAAACAAAAGGACTCATTCTTTGACTGCCTGGAATGAAATCCCAGCTCTGCCTCTTATTAGCGATGATGAGCAATTTAATTAATCTGTGTTCAGTTTCTCCTCATCTATAAAAGGGGATAGTAACAGTTCCTTCCTCACAGGTTATTATGGAGAACAAACTAGTTAATTTACATAAAGCTCATAGAACAGCATCTGACACTAAATGCTCAAAGTACTTCAGCTGTTGTTATTATTATATGAAAGATAAAAGAGGAAGATTTGAAATTCAGTCCTCTCGTAAGTTACAAAAGGGGAGAAAATACATATTATATTTGTAAGTTTAGGATTTTATTGTTTAAGAATGTGGCCTTTCATTCGTAAACAAATTCAATGAAAGGTCTTCCTCAGTATAAAAATCAGATTTTGATTTCCTCCCAGAAACAATAAAAGACATTATGCATATAAAGGCTATTTCAACTTTATATCTGGGCATTCTAAATCAAGTACAAAATTAAAAGTGACTCCCCCCCAAATTTTAAACACACAGATGTGTTTTCTTTCATTTCCATTAAGGGGCAAAATTATTCATAAGTGACATTAGACCAATTTACCTTAGGGCATGCAAGGAAGCTCTGACCTGTTGCTAATTGCAATAGTTGAATAAAACCTTAATGCAACAATCTTCCTTAGGGTCAAGACAACAAAAAGAGAAAATCAAAATAATTTATTATAGAAGAAGTAAATGATTATCTTAATCATGCCTATCTGGAACAGAAGCAAAAAAAAAAAACCTAATAAAAGTCAATATTCATTTCTTATCCCTAGGAATAAAAGACTTGTTTTTCTAGGTCCTACAAAAACAAAAATGAGTGAAACAAATAAGGTGTGTAATTAGTGGGGAAAATAAAAAATTTTGGAAGGGATGTGATTTTATATAGAAAGCCCAAGAGAATCCATTGACTCACATTCAGTAAGTTTGAGGAACTGATCAGTTACCAGATAAATATTTATATAAAAACCACTAATTATTTCCAGGAACTTTAATAGTGGTAAAAATACATGCAAAAGGCTCTCACGGTATATGAAATAAAAATATTTATAAAAACCAATTAAAAATGTATGCAACCTATGAAAAAAAAATAGAATATCACAAACAAATGCGAAACAGGTCTTTGGAAGTTAAGACTGAATATCACAGAAGTGTCAATTCTTCCCATATTAACATTTTATTTACTACACTTCAAATCAAAACCCAAACTGGATCTAGAACCATATAACTACCCTAATCTTCACCTAATTGTTTACTAATATGGAAACAATTAAGATTTTTATCTTAAACTACAGACTCAAAATTTTTAATGGAAGAAAATATATTATTATTCATTAATCAATTACTGGACAGGGAGAGGTTAAGTCTAGAGTGATTTAAGACCAAAAGAAATAATCAACAGACACGACAACACAAAAATTAAAGAGGTTATAAAAATTTTAAAAGACTTCACATTTTTAAAAGCAAGCAGCAAAGGGAATAAAATGTGCAATAAAATACAAATACAAGAAAAAGTTCATATAAATCATAAGAAAATCATTTTGTCTTAATATAGACATATATAAAGAACGTCAGCAGACTACTTTAAAAAAGGGAAACACTGCAATCCTGTTCAGGGCAGCAAGACACATCCTGAAAGGACAGTACTAAGTGGTCCAGGCTTCCAGCAAGGTCTGGATCTTTCTTTCACTTATATATACAACTTTAGCTATGGGGTTTTCTAGCTACCATTCATACCACTGTTGGCCACTTTTCTCAGGATACAGGCACATATGTGATGCCCTTCATAATGTCAAGCAATTTCCACCATTTCCTAACCGGGTTGATCTTTCCCCTCTGTTTCCTGAATTGCTTATTTGATAGTTCCTCAGGCAGCCATAAAACTTGCATGTTAATATGTAGCAGAATACCCTCCCTTTAAGGCAGGTCAAACACTCTCACTCATAAACCATTTTAATCCATTATAGACCCAAATTAGTAAGCAACACACAACATAACTGACAAAAAGAAAGGCAGCATGCATTACGCATTCAACTCAGTCTCTATGAGCATTATGCAGAAGACTGCAGCAGGCTGACGCTCACAGCCCACGCATAGTATAGCAGCTCTCCTGGACTCAAAAGTTCACCATCAAGCATACACAGACACGTTTGCACGTGCATACATATGGACACAAACATTTCTTTATTGAAATGAAAGTCACAGAACATAATTAGCCATTTAAAATAATTCAGTGGCTTTTAATTCATTAAAATGTTGTGCAATGATCACTTCTACCTAATTCACTTTTTTTAAGAAAAATATTTTAAAGGTAAACATCAGAAAAATGGATCAATGCTATGTAGAATATGTAAAGAAGCTTATGTATGGGAGAAATACAAAATTTTACAAGTGAGGTCAAGTTTCTTATTAGACTCGATTTTTAAAAAAAGAACACTCAGTATTTTTAAGGATTAGATGAAATAGAGTAGTATTCTCATACATTGATGATAATGTATAAGTTGGTGTAATTCATAAGCAAAATCAATTTAGCAAAAATAGCCACAGATTCAAAATGATATATACTAATTCCATTTCACCCTTGGGACCTTATCATTAAAGAGCAATTTTAAAAACAAAGTTTTATACTTAAGATGTCTGATACAGTTTTATTAAGAATGAAGGAAGGGGAAGAGAAAGAAATAAAGGGAAGGGAAAAAGGAACATAGAAACAAGCCAGACACTCAAAAAGGAAAGTAGGAAAAACATGCACATAGACTGTGCAGGCATTATTAAGACTGTCTATGAGGGCTTTATAATAAATTTATAGATATAAACATTATCTCAACCTAAGTTAAAAAATTCAGACGTACAGTTTTATACATATATAGTATGTTTTTAACTATGCCAACTTTGTCTTTAAAGAATTGCACAGTCTGTCTGAACTGAAAACAGCAAACTCTTCAAGTTATTTATCTTCAAGGGATGAAGGGACACAGGGACCCTGAAACTCTGGTCTTGGCCTCTTAGTGGCAATGTGCTGAGAGCATAAGCTCTCACTCAAACAAAATGGCTTTGATTCTTGGCTCTGGTTTTTGAACTCTGGACTTCTAACCACGTAAACCTGAACAAGTAACATACCTCTCCGTGCCTCAGTTTCTTCAACTATGGGAAGCACTCAAGAAATGTTACTAGCATTTTAATTATCTGCTATTCCTGTAACAGCCCAGCACAAGTACCATGCAGATCTTAAAGATTACACCTCCCATAGACTATCTCAAGAGATCAAGTGAAGTCTCAGCATTCCTAAGTTCAGTTGATATTAAGGAGCTAGAAGTGTTTGTCATGTGTGGGTTTACATTCTCTTTATAGAATCTAGGTGCCTTTTGAACTGTGGTATTGGAGAAGACTCTTGAGAGTCCCTTGGACTGCAAGGGGATCCAACCAGTCCATCCTAAAGGAGATCAGTCCTGGGTGTTCATTGGAAGGACAGATGTTGAAGCTGAAACTCCAATACTTTGGCCACCTGATGTGAAGAGCTGACTCATTGGAAAAGACCCTGATGTTGGGAAAGATTGAGGGCAGAAAGGAGAAGGGGACGACAGAGGATGGGATGGTTGGATGGCATCAACTGACTCAATGGACATGGGTTTGGACTCCGGGAGCTGGTGATGGACAGGGAGGCCTGGTGTGATGTGGTTCATGTGGTAGCAAAGAGTCGGACACGACTGAGCGACTGGACTGATTGGAGCACTTACCTTAAGCTGTGCTGTGTGCTAAGGCACCACAGTCATGTCTGACTCTCTGCAATCCTATGAACTGTAGCCCGCCAGGGTACTCCATCCATGGGATTCTCCAGGCAAGGATACTGGAGTGGGTTGCCAAGCCTTTCTCCAGGGGATCTTCCCAATCCAAGGATGGAACTTACATCTCTTATGTCTCCTGCACTGGCAGACTCGTTCTTTACCATTAGCACCACCAGGAAAGACTGGCATCTCTTTTTTACTATTTCCTCTCCTCATCATCTCTTTAGGGCTTTCCAGGTAGCACAGTAAAGAATGTGCATACCAGTGCAGGAGATGCACTATGCTTGGGTTCGATCCCTGGGTTGGGAAGATCCCCTGGAGTAGGAAATGGCAATCCACTCCAGTATTCTTGCCTGGAAAATTCCACTGACAGAGAAGCCTGGCAGGCTACAGTCCATGGGCTTGCAAAGAGCTGGACATGACTGAGTACACACACATGTCATACAACCCTCTTTTTAATATGGAAGAAACTGGGGAAGATATTGACTGCATTTGATTTGATTAACTTGAGTTAAACTGGAAGGAATCTAGAATGACATGTGGGTGTTTTTAAAATTGATGGTAATAACACCATGTTACAGAGTGTGAGAAATACTTAAGTCATGTGGTACAGTATTATCCAGATGTGACTACTATTTGTGGCAAGATTTAGCTAAGATGCCAGTGGTCACCAGCAATCACCCAAGGGTGTTCTTTTACCTGGATGCTTATAATTCATTTGTCTGTCTGCAGCTCTTGTCCAAGCAAAGAAAGCAATTTTAAGACCAAATGGAATGTAATAAATTATGGATACAGAATTGGTATCCTTCTGTCATTTTCCTCCAGGGCAATGGTAACAGCAAATATCTTACTGTTAGCTCAATAAAAACAGCTTCAATGCCTATATACAACTGCTCAAATTAAAAATACAGCAGGTGTTATTCCTTTGGTTCTTTCACTTCATTTTCTTAGACTAATTTATGAAAATACCCAGTGACAAGATTATGGCATGTGACAGTCAAAAGGAAACGATTAATCTTTCACCATCGTATACAACCTTTCTTTCCAGGATCTCAGCATGCTTTGATGATAACGCTTCTACTTTTCACAACATTAAGTGAAAGAGAAAGTTGCTCAGTTGTGTCCGACTCTTTGCGACCCCATGGACTGTATAGTCCATGGAATTCTCCAGGTCAGACTACTGGAGTGGGTAGCC